TAGAGTTTCATTAAAAGTTTGAAAAGGCCCAGAGTGACACACTCCTGTTCTTCTCAGGTTGTTGAGATGTCTTCCAATGGCTCCTAGGACTGAGAACCATATCCCTTATTTAGATAAAAGGCAGGTCTGACATGTCATTCAGAGAATAGGTAGATTCAGAAAGCAGGCCTTTGGGTGTTGAGAGTGTGTGTGTGTGTGTGTGTGTGTGTGTGTGTGTGTGTGTTAGCACCTGAAGCAGGCTTTGTGAGCCACTGTCCCAGGGAAAGTTTTGTGACTCACCTGGCAAGATGAGCTAATGGGTTTCTACATTTAGCATCTGGGCTTTTGAGGCACCAGAGCTTTTTTTTTTTCTTTTTAGCTCTGATTTAAACACTTACTACTATAAAGATGAGGTGAAGGGAGAGCCACTTTCTGATAATAAGGAGAAAGACTTCTTTAAAATCTCTTATGAGCTAGAGTGATGAGTGAAAAGGAAGAGAAATGAGCCTTGGCTAGATTTTATACTTCACCAAGCCAGGAGAAGAAATGTTCTGAGTGTCTTTTGCTCAAAGTAAGTACTTGAAACCCAGCTCAAGATGTGAGTAAAGCTAGCTTGGCTTATCCCTAATTTAAAATAGAAAAGGGAAAAGTGAATCAGTAAAAATGTAAACCCCGGGGAACCAAGGGAAATTTCAAGAAGCTTCTCATATTTTGTTCCTGTGTTCTGGTTCCAATCCTCTGTCCTCCCGTTGGTTCATGGCTGCCAGATTAATCCCCCTGACATGACATTTAGTGTAGGATCCTTTCCCTGCTCAGAAATCCTCAAGAGTGGCTTACTGTCCCCAAAAGGAGACCGAAGTCAATAGTCTGGCTTTCAAAGGCCATCTGCCCACCTGTGAGACTCTCCCTCCACAGCGACAACCCAATGATTCTGTTTCTCCTGAGCATCTGTGCACATTCTCACTTCTTGGTTTTGCTTGTGTATGTGGTGCTCCAACCCTGGTGTGTGTGTGTGTGTGTGTGTGTGTGTGTGTGTGTGTGTGTGTATTACTGAAGAGATTCCTTCAAAGTACCAGCACCACCTCCATGCTATTTTTTTAAAAATTTTTGTTTTATTGCTTAAAGTATTACAAAGAGCATTACATAGGTCTCCTTCCCCCCCTTGACCTTCCCCCGGCCTCCCCTACCCCCCAGTGTCTTGTGTCCATTGGTCATGCTTATCTGCATGTATACAAGTCCTTTGGTTGATCTCTCTCCTCCTCTCCCCCCAACCCTCCCCGGCCTTCCCGCTGTAGTTTGACAGTCTGTTCAATGCTGCTCTGCCTCTGTGTCTATTTTTGTTCATCAGTTTATAATGGTCTTTATTATCCATAAATGAGTGAGATCATGTGGTATTTTTCTTTCATTGACTGGCTTATTTCACTTAGCATAATGCTCTCCAGTTCCATCCATGCTGTTGCAAATGGTAAGAATTCCTTCTTTTTTACAGCAGCATAGTATTCCATCGTGTAGATGTACCACAGTTTTCTAATCCATTTATCTGCTGATGGGCACTTAGGCTGTTTTCAAATCTTAGCTATGGTAAATTGTGCTGCTATGAACATAGGGATGCTATTCTTACATGCGGGATGTGTCTATGCCTGGGTCTGCTTGTCGGAATCCTAGTCTTTCTTGAAGGCTGGCTTCAGAGTCCCCAGAAGCCCAACTTAGATAAGTAGATATAAAAGGAGAAAGACATTCTAGGCAGGGGGAAAATGAGGCAAAAACTGGGAATGCTTGAAAACCAACAGTCAAACGTTAGGCCTGCACATGTCCTAAATGAGTTTGCACTGCCCGAGGCGGCCGCACAGGGCAATTATAAGGCCCTCTATTGGAAAGGTGCCAGCTTTGGGGTTGGACAGGATTGAGTGTCAGTCCTCTCTTACTTACTGGGGCTGGATTGGCTTGGGTAAGTCACTTACTCCTTCGACATCTAGTTCACTCACTTGGCAACAGTGGGCTATGTATGCCTTTATCGTAGGGATCCGATGTTTGACAGCTGCAATGTGTGTGGCATGCAGTGGGTACTTAGTCAATGTTGGTTCCCTTCCCTTCTGGCTGTCTGGGTAGCAGAGACAGAATGAGGAGCCAGCCATTGTGACTGAGTGGCAGGCACCACCAGGTTGCTAAGGTGATGGCATTTGGAGATGGAGATTTAGATGAGGTCATGAGGGTGGGGTCCCCATGATGGAATCAGTGTCCCTATATAGTGTCTTCCTCCACCATGTGAGGACACAGTGAGGTGGTGGCCACCTGCAAACCAGGACGTGAACTCTCACCAGGAACCAAGGCAGACAGCACCTTGACCTTGGACTTGCAGCCCCCAGACCTGTGAGAAGTAAATGCTTGTTGTCTAAGCCACTCAGTCTATGGCATTTTGTTTAAGCAGCCTACACTGACTAAGACACGTGCCTTGCCACATCCCCCATTTCCACCTGCCACCCCTACGTTCCTGTGCGTGAGAACTTTCTCTCTGAGGCATGCTTTTCCTGCCCATGTGATGAGTTGAAAATGCTGGGGAATTACACTCTTAGGGAACAACGACTAATGGGGGCTGTGTATAAACACCCTCATCCAGAAGGAAGTATTTTACACTGACTGTCAAAGTGAGCCCATGGGATTGAACTCCAGATGCCCATCGTGGTAGCTGGTTAATAACATACCTTTAATTGGCTGCCTTCCCTTCCTTATCATTTCCACTCCTCTGCTATTATTTCCCCCTCCCTCCCACCTTCCAAATAAACTACTTGCACTACATCCCAGATCTCAGAAGAACCCAAACGAAAACAGATGCCTAGCCTACATTCCTCGTTACAACTCCTCCCTGTAGGGCTGGTCTAGCTCTTCCCCAATTATTTTCTAGATCGGGATGGCAGAGGAGGTATATCATCTCGGTCCTCATGAGCCGTGCTGTCATCGTGTACGTAAGAAATGTGACAGGGGCAATAACACACTACATCTCTGTCACTCTAGTGTGTAAACTAATACAACAGTCGGGCACCTTCCATGTCTCTGATATTAAGTGATGAATGAATTATTGATGACAAGTCCCATGTTCCCTTGAGTCAAATATTAATATAGCAATATCTCTCCTGTGGTGGCCAGATTCCTTTTGAATGATTTCATCACTCAGAAATCCCACCACGTCTTTCACCTCACCCAAGATGAATTGGGTGCATTCCGGAAAGACAACTCGAGGAGATGGAATGTTTAAACCTGGTCTGTTGCGTTTCATCAGAGTTGACACAAACAGGCTTTCCCTGGGACAAGTGTGAGACATCAAAGAAAGATTTCAATTGTCTGAGGCTTTCATAAGGTGGGTTATAGAACTTGTTTTTGCTGGCCTATTTCATGGTAGCCTTGGAATGGGAAGCACAGAACACAAGCTTGGCAGAAGTTGGAATGGTTTTTCATCTGCACCAATCACATTTCATATTTAGTTTCCAGTATTTTGGCTTTGGGACCTCACCCTCCTCTGGGTCTCAGCAGCACTTCCAATCTGTAGGGCTCTATGAAACATATATACATCTTGTACTAATATACTTATTGGGGAATGTCTTTTCTTTTCTACTGGGTCATAGTCTCCTTGAAGTCATGGTACTCAGTTTGTTGACCTGAGATATTCTTTACCTGAGGGCCTTTTATCTGTACTCATCCTTGCATCCCAGGTCTCGGTGAAGAACCAGGAACATTGTAGGCACTCCATCAATGCTTGTTAAATGACAACCTTTGCCACTAAATGCATTAAAGGACCTCCCTTCTCAGTAGGGTGTGGGGGCTGAGGGGTCCTTAGTTCATATCCTTATCATCTCTCTTTTGCATCAAAAAATACTCTCTTAAAAGATTTCAAAAGGAAAGAAAAAGTGCTAAAAGTTCTGAGAAAACCCTTTGGGAGATGATAAAAGGATGTTTTAGCTTTTTAATTTTATTAATAGTGCTGCTACTCAGTGCCATACACTGTCATGCAGCAAACATTTATAGTACAGTGGATGTGCAATATGAGCAAAAATATTGTTTTAAACCACGGATATTTGCGGTTATTTGTAACTGGAGCCTAGCCTAGCCCATACTGATTGACCCATTTGCTGATAGAAAAATCCCGCTATAGACCCCTTACTCATTGTTTGTCTTTGTGCGTCAAGCCTTCCTTAATGGAAAACATATGGACTATCTTTCTGGGGTCTGTTTCCTAAATTCATTGTGAAATACAAAACAAAGGCCAAAACTCTGAAGCTAACATTGGAGATTTCCTCCAGGCCCCTCCACCCTCTGCCCCCCAATCCTTTTTTCTTGTGTCTCTTCTTGTTTATGTTGAAAGACTAAAACTCCAGTCAGGCTGGGCTATTCCCTGTTTGCTGTCCACATCCTGCATTTTCTTTCTTCTGTGCATAACACAGCGATTCAGGGCAGGCACTTAAGACTCAGACAAATTTGGCTCAAATTCTAGCTTCAGCTCCCGTGTGACCTCGGGCAAGTCCTGTACTCTTTCAGAGTCAGTTTCTTCTGTGAACAGGAGATACAGCATCTTCCTTGCAGTATTAGGGGGAAGATTAATGGGAAAATGTTCGAAAAGTGCTTAGTACAACATGACTTATTGTAGGTCCTCAAAACGTGGAAGCTGGGCTACGGTTTTATGCACTCCTTCTAGCCGGAAGCTTTATCGGTGCCCCTAAGTCAGTCCTTTCAGGACAGTTTACAGGTCCTGTCACATTCCCTGTGTGTCTCTATTTCCAGCCCATTGTTCCTTCCTCTTCTGTAGTGACTGCATATCATTTGTTATTTTCTGAAACCCCTAAGCAATTATTGGTAGATCACAAATTATGACCCGACATTCACTTTACTGCTTTAAATATACATCTTTCATCTTTTATTTTTTAAAAAATATATTTTATTGATTTTTTACAGAGAGGAAGGGAGAGGGATAGAGAGTTAGAAACATCAATGAGAGAGAAACATCGATCAGCTGCCTCCTGCACACCCCCTACTGGGGATGTGCCCACAACCAAGGTACATGCTTTTGACTGGAATCAAATCTGGGACCCTTCAGTCCACAAGCCGACGCTCTAACCACTGAGCAAAACCTGTTAGGGCCATCTTTCATCTTTTAGCATGTATGAGACTTGAAGCTTCTTGAGGGTAGAATCCATGTCTGTTTTTTAAAGTTTTGTATACCTCAGAACATCCGATACTACCCCTGTAAAACCACTGAGTAGGAACCTACCATTGAGGTAACCGCAATAAAGATTTTTTTGAATGAGGAATGCATGGAAACTTACCACATTTGCCCTACTTCACACCACAGCCACATCTCCATTCTGTAGGTCCTGGGTTTCTGCTGAATATTTCATTTATGAAAAGAGAGACAAGGAGAAAGAGGCAAACTTTTGGTTCATGTACTGAGCTAGGTACATTACAAAGGTTGTCTGATTGATTTTCATTTTAGCCCTTTGAGGCAGGGATTTGCTAAACCACGCATCCAGGTGATGGACAGCGCTGGGCGTGTTGACTTCTGGAAGCCATGCTGTTTTCATTACATGAAATTTGTTGTTGAGTCAGGCTTTGTAACAATGTTCACAACTTTTTCTCAAAACCAACTCATTTTCTGCTCTGCCTCTATTAAATGTGCAGTTCTTAGACTGCGGTTTCTTCTTTCAGACGCTGGCGGAGCTTTGAAGCTCGAGACGAGACACTCAGAGCAAATGCTCATGGCAGATCAATACCCAATGAGAATGCAGCAGTCCTGCAATGACTTTGAGAATCAACTGGAAAGTCAGTCTTTATTTATACAAACTTCACTCTGGAACCCCATGAAGAAGCCCAACAGGGAGAGCTTGGTCGAAGGAAGATAATTTCTTCTGGCCTCCATGGCCTCCATGCAGAAAGTAAAGGACTCAGCTACATTTGAGGAGACCTGAGACAATGTCATTGTATGCGTATGGGGAGATGAGAAAGGGCTTCTCCACAGGTATCACCTCCCGGATCAATACATCTCTTGACAGCTAATGGCTGCAACTGGAATTTGCTGAACAAATGGGGTGAGGAAAGGCTGTGGAAGGTTGTGAGAGATGGAGCTTTGGGAAAGGGCAATGCTAGCTATTATCCTTGGCCAGGAAGTGTTGTTCATTCATTTTAACACCTGGCTTGTCTCAGCCAAAAGTAGCTCTACCCAGAATGCTAACTGGAGAGGAATGTATTATTTTCTTTGGATCAAATTCAACCTGAACCTCATAGACAAGGCCCTCTGATTTTTAGGTCAGGATTTACAAACTGCCTTTGCCACTTCCATTTGGCCTCTCACCTCTGCTTCATGTTATGAATGGGCTCATGTCAATGCATGTTTGACTTCAGTTCTTGTACAACCTGGCAAACTTTCCTAGTATTTGACATTTCTGAGCCATACAGGGGTAAATTCCCAGGCAGGATTAACTTCTTATCAACTTATGGGTACTTTTATGTAGCATTTTTAAAAAAATTTAAACCTCTTGTGCTAGTTGCTTATATAATTATCTCCCTCACCTGGTTCCTTGACTAATCCTTATGATATCCTATAAGGTCACAGATACACACCTGTATATAAATGTGTGTGTATATATATATATATTTGTGATGTACATATATCAATAAATATTTGTTGAATTATATTAAGTTTAGGGAAAAATCTGCTTGTCTAGTCTAATTATAATAACCAATTCTTATACAGCACTTTCTATGCCAGAAAGTCTTCTAAGAAATTTTCATATGTTAATTCTTTCAATCCTCACACCACTCCTCTAAGGTTAATCCTGTTATTTTCTTTTCTTTTCAAAATTTATCTTTATCATTCAAAGTATTACATATGTTCCCCCCCCCCCCCCCGACACAGTCTCCCCACCCCAACCCCTTCTGCCAGGCCTACCACACTATTGTCTGTGTCCATGGGTTATGCATATCCTATATAATAAAAGCCTAATATGCTTAGTGTCCAACTGCTCGTTCAACCGTTCGATCAGTCACTATGATGTGCACTGACCACCAGGGGGCAGACACTCCAACCGGTAGGTTAGCTTGCTGCTGGGATCTGGCTGATCGGGACTGGGCAGGACAGGCCAAATGCACCCTGGATGAATTCGTGCACTGGGCTGGTTTCAGCCCGATCCCCACAGGCCAGGCGGAGGGACTCCACTGGTGCATGAATCTGTGCACTGGACCTCTAGTATGCATATAAATTCTTTGATTAATTTCGTCCTGTCCCTCTGAGATTCATCAGTTTGGACCATGCTTCCATATCTCTTAATTTTTTTGTTGCAATGATAAATGGGATTTTTTTTTTTAGTTTCTCTTTCTGAGAATTCATTATTGGTATATAAAAAAAGCCATCGATTTTTGAGTGTTGATTTTGTATCCTGCTAGATTGCCAAATTCATTTATTAAATCTAGTTGCTTTTTGGTGGAATCTTTAGGGTTTTCTATGTACAATATGTCATCTGGGAATAATGAGAGTTTTATTTCCTTCTTTCCAATTTGGATGCATTTGATTTCTTCTTGTCTAATCACTGTGGCTAGGACTTCCAGTACTATCCTATCTAATAAAAGAGAAACATGGTAATTGGTGTACGACCGCTACCCTTCCCATTGGCTAATCAGGGCGATATGCAAATTAACTGTCAGCCAAGATGGCGGCCGGCAGCCAGGCAGCTTGAAACTAACATGAGGCTTGCTTGCTTCAGTGACAGAGGACTCCAACGTTCCCACCTGCCGCTGCAGGCCTCTGAGCTGGCAGTTTGAAACATAGTTACAAAAATAGAAGCTAAACAAAACCCCAGAAACCAGCTTTCAGCTAGCCGGGATCTCAGACCTGGAGTTGATACAGAGTTTCAATTGTAGAACCTAAACAAACCAGATACCTGCTTTCAGGAGTGGAGGCCTAAGAGCTGGAGCCTCAGAGCTAAAGCTGGCTCAGAATAAAAAAAAGAAAAAGAAAAAAAGGAGCAGTTGGAAGCTTCAGTCCCAGCCTGAAAACAGCCCTCAGCCCCTCACCCAGAATGGCCAGGCATCCCACTGGGGACCCCCACCCTGAAGGGTGTGTGGCCAGCTGCAAACAGCCCTCAGCCCCTCACCCAGACTGGCCAGGCACCCCAGTGAGGACCCCCACCCTGAAGGGTGTGTGACCAGCTGCAAACAGCGATCATCTCCTCATCCAGGCTGGCCAGACACCCCAGTGGGGACCCCCACCCTGATCGAGGACACCCTTCAGGGCAAACCAGCCAGCCCCCACCCATGCACCAGGCCTCTATCCTATATAGTAAAAGGGTAATATGCCTCCCGGCACTGGGATCAGCATGACAGGGGGCAGCGCCCAAACCCCCTGATTGCCCTGTGGCTCTGTGTGTGACAGGGGGCGAGGCCACAACCTCCCTATTGGCCCTGATCTGTTCCTGACAGGAGAAGGCTCCTAAACCCCCTGATCGGCCTTGCTCTGTGCCTGATAGGGGGGAGCTCCCCAACATCCTGATCGCCCTGCAGCTCTGTGTGTGACCGGGTGCGGCGCCCCAACCCTCCTACCCCACGGGCCCTGCTCTGTGTGTGACGGGGTAGAGCCATAACATCCCCATCGGCCCTGCCCTGAGTGTGACAGTGGCGGTGCCCCAACCCCCTGATCAGCCCTGCTCTGTGGGTGATAGAGGGCGGCGCCCCAACCCCCCCACCCCACGGGCCCTGCTCTGTGTGTGATGGGGTAGAGCCATAACCTCCCCATCGGCCCTGCCCTGAGTGTGACAGTGGCGGTGCCCCAACCCCCTGATAGGCCCTGCTCTGTGGGTGACAGGGGGGAGCTCCCCAACCCCCTGATTGGCCCTGCTCTGTGTGTGACAGGGGGTGGCGCCGTAACCTCCCCATCGACCCTGCCTTGAGTGTGACAGGGGGCGGTGCCCCAACCCCCCAATCGGCCCTACCCTGAGCATGACTGAGGGTGGCATCGAAACCTCCCAATCCGCCCTGCTCTGTGCATGACAGGGGGCGGCACCCAAATTCCCTAATCGGCCCTGCTCTGAGCCCGACCAGCGGCTGCACCTAGGAATTAGGCCTGCCCTCTGCCACCCGGGAGCAGGCCTAAGTCAGCAGGTCGTTATCTCCTGAGGGGTCCCAGACTGCGAGAGGGCACAGGCTGGGCTGAGGGACCCCTCCTCCCCCCCGAGTGCACAAATTTTTGTGCACTGGGCCTCTAGTCCTATATAATAAAAGGCTAATATGCAAATTGTCCCCTCAACCGGGAGTTCGACTGGGAGTTCAACTGGGAGTTTGATCAGGGGGCGGAGCCATCCCGACAACTGGCCGAGGCCCCTCCCCCCAGCTGGCCAGGCCCAATTGGATTGGGGCCGGCCAGCCAGACCCCACCCATGCATGAATTCATGCACTGGGTCTCTAGTGTTAAATAAAAATGGTGAGAGCGGAAATCCGTATCTTGTTCCTATTCTTAGGGGAAATGGTTTTATTTTCTGCTCATTAAGTACAATGTTGGCTGTCGGTTTGTATGGCTTTTATTATGTTGAGATATGATTCTTCTATTTCCACTTTGCTGAGAGTTTCTATACAAAATGAGTGTTGGATTTTGTTGAATGCTTTTTCTGAGTCTATTGATGTGATCATGTGATTTTTGTCTTTCAATTTTTTAAATGTGATGTATCACATTCATTGATTTGCAAATATTGTACCAGTCTTGCATTCCTGGAATAAATCCCACTTGATCATGGTGTATGATCTTTTTAATATATTGCTAGATCCGATTTGCTAATATTTTGTTGAGGATTTTAGCATCTATGTTTATCACGGATGTTGGTCTATAATTCTCTTTCTTTGTAGTGTCTTTATTTGGTTTAAGAATTAAGATAATGCTGACCTCAGAAAAAGAGTTTGGAAGTGTTCCTTCCTTTTGGATTTTTTTGGAATAGTTTGAGGAGGATAGGTGCTAGTTCTTTGAATGTTTGGTAAAACTCCCTTGTGAAGCTGTCCAGCCAGGGTTTTTGTTTGCTGGGAGTTTTTTTTTATTACTGCTTCAATTTCATCCATTGTTATTGGCTAATCCTAGTATTTTCATCTCCATTCTCTAAATGAAGATCCAGAGGCACAAGGAAGTGAAGTAAATTGTCCAAGGTCACACTAATCCAGCTCAGAAAGTCTGTCTCTAGAATCCACGTTCTTTATTCTATGATGCTCTTCACTTACACTAATGGAAGGATGACAAGTTAATTACACATGGGCAAAATGTTTCTTTAGGATTTTGTGATACTACTGCCTATAGGAACTCACATCTACACAAACATACACATTTTATTTGTTCATTCATTCATTCACTTTTCATTCAGTGCATATTTGTTGAGTGTTTACAAATGTGTTTGTATATGCTAAGTCCTTGGGATAGGTGAGGGGTGTGTGTGTGTGTGTGTGTGTGTGTGTGTGTGCACGCGCACGCTCATGCACCTGTGCGCATGCTCATGTGTTAGGGGAAACAGATTTCTATTCTTTTTCCGAGTCATACATGTATTGTTTATTTAGAGAAATTCCAAATCTTATTTTGGGCTATTCCTGATTCTGTCATCCTCTGGTATTTTAGGAAAAGGAGAAGTTGAGGCAAGAGGGGAGGAGGAAACCATAATGACAGGTCTCAGAAAATCCACTTATACTGTTGCATCAAGGGTAACAATCAGTTTCCATGCCAACTTCCCTTCTAGTTTAATCAGTTCCTACCCAAGCCCTGGACTTGTCTGCCATATGTACGTCAACACCCTTCTCTAGCCATTGCTGTTTGCACCAGAGAAAGACACATAACCCAAGGTAAATCATTGTACCGCGAATGAAGAGACACAGCAGTGCTAGGATATTAAATGCTTACCTGGGAGTCATGTGGAGCTGAGCCTTGGGTGTGGAGCTGGGTTGTGACCAGAGAAGATAGCTGGTGCCTGCGAGAAGCAGAGTTCAGAGAGACCACCTGTGGACTGAGAGACAGAAAGAGTAGCTGAAATTCTCAGCTTCTCAGCTCCAGCCCTGGGAGAGCTATCTGAGTTTAAGTGTTCGGCTTTCTGTGAGTTTCCATCATGTTAGATCTTCCCATGGAACCCCCGGGTGCTTTTGAAACAGCTTCAGCATATTTCTCTTCTCTAACACATAATGACCCTTGTCTTAAACAAGCAGTGAGTGGCTCCTCTCTCCTCCAACGAGGAAACTTTTGGAAAATAGGCTCCCAAACCCAAGAGTTATGACAGGGGTTCCGTACTGCCATTTAAATCAATGAGGAAATGATGTGCTTAGCTGAGGCTTCAACTTCTCTACTGTAAAGACACAGAGAAGCCCACAATCTTTGCTTCCTCTTTACTCCTGAGCTCTGCATAGTAGTATTGGATGAATGTCCCTGAAGAATGGAAATAGTGTTGTGAAGGGCCAAGCCCTGAGGCTGAGCTCGAAGGACTGTGGTTTCAGCTAAGGGACAGGCCGGGCCAGCTTTGCTCTCTGGCTGTTGGAAAGCTGCTGTGCTTTAGATGCATCTCAGTTCTGCTCAGAACAAGGTGTGGAGTGGTCCCCAGAATCAATGAAACAACCAGGTAAGCCAATATAAACAACTGAAATAGGTTTTAATAGGAGGTTAAATAGAAGACCTAAAAATATTAGATGATGGATTATGGGAATTTTTCTACCCCTTTAAGTACCTGCAGATGCAGAGGAAAGTAGAAAAGTTGTGGGGTTGCCTAGTTGCCAGGTTGCCCTCAATTTTCTCATGCCTAAAGTGGGGAGATGGATAATAGATTAGATAATCTATAAGGGCCCTTCCAGCTCTATGGGTGACTTTGAGTGGAGTCAGAGTCATCCTAGCAAAGTCGGCAATTTAACTATTCAAAAAGATGTGATGCAACTGATCTTCCGGCATATATTTGCACAGTATCTGCTCAAGGGGGCCAGTATGTGTTAGTGCATACGTTTTTGCTAGGGCTTGAGTGATGGAGACTTCAGTTTGTGTTCTTAAAAAACACCCTTTGCTCTGTGATTCCTTGGATGAATTGTCCAGCAAAACGGAATTTCCACTGTAAGTGCAGCCAAAGGTGGGGACCTGCTATGAGAGATCAAGACTGAAGCCTGTGGGGTCTGGGGGTGTAAAGCAGAGTTTAAATTAATGAGGAAATAAATCTAATGTGCTTAGACTAGTGCTTGTCATGTTGAAGGTGCTTGGTATAGACAAGACTTTTTCCTTTTGCTCCCCCTGCTCTTTCATCTTTAGGTTCACAAGATTCTGCTCCATATAACCACATGTGGGTGGTTTAACCTGCCTTCCTAGGAAACTAGTCAAACTCATTCGTAGTGGAATTAAACCCATTCATAGTGCCAAGAAAAGACAGAGGAAGAAGACAAATAGAATTTTTGGGTGAAATAACTCAACTATTCTCAGAAGCAAGATTCATTATGGATAAATGCTTGCTGATTGGCCACAAAAATGCATTGACATAAGATACTTTCAGGACGAGAAGGGACACTGGCTAGATGAAACGGAAGTGAAAGCCAGTCCAAGCCAGGATGAAGTGATGAAATTATTCAGTTAATTAAGGGTTTTTTGTTTTTTTTACAGTAGAGCCAACCTCATGTGTGTGTAGAAATCCAGTAAATATTACAACAATGAGATGGTCTAGGGCAAGATAATTAAAAAAAAAGACTTTATAAGAACTATGTGTTAGCATATCATTAAAAAATACATAAAGATAACTTTTGCTTTTCAGATAATAATTTGTTTTTTTGGGGGGAAGGGGTTGGACAGGATAGAGAGATGCTTAGCTTTGGAGCCAACAGGAAAAAATTGGGATACTGAGGAATGAAGAGAGAAAGTCTACATGGCCTAACCCAGAGGTTTTCAACCAGTGGGTCGCAACCCCTTTGGCTGTCGAACGACCCTTTCATAGGGGTCGCCTAAGACCACCCTGCATATCAGATATTTACATTACGATTCATAACAGTAGCAACATTACAGTTATGAAGTAGCAACGAATATAATTTTATGGTTGGGTCACAACATGAGGAACTGTATTTAAAGGGCCAGAAGGTTGAGAACCACTGGCCTAACCTGTGTTCCTTCCCAGCAGCAATTGGCTTGATATCCTGCAGCCATTTTTTTTGGTGGGGAGAAGGGGGGCAACAAAATTAAATAGGTAACCAGCCTCTGAGGGCATTGAGAACTCAAACTTGTGAAGACCTCATGGTCATGGACTTGATTTTGATGTTTACAAATAGCTGGCATCCTGTGCTAGAGGTGAAGCATGAATGAAAACTCACAAAAACACACATCAAACAAAGGCACATATCTTTTCTATGCATAGAGTTGTACCTTCTTCAAAGTTCCACCCTGAATTCTATTTAATGCTTAAGACAACCTTGCAAGGGAGGAATTAGTTTCATCATTTTTAGAGGAAGAAACTGAGGCTCAGAATGTCAGTGATTTTCCCAAGTGATCTCCATAGTAGAAACTTAATGATTCCACAGCCAAATTCAGTCCTCACCCAACACTTGTCTCTATTGATTAGATCTTCTCCAAGGGCTCTAAGTCATACACTTACTGTGAAAATCATTATATTAAGAAAAGTTAGTTTGTCCTGCACCCAGCTGCTATTCTCATTTTCTGTTACCAGGTGAATAAACAGTTTTGCAATGTTCTAGTTCAGTAGTTTTCTAACTTTATAGACAAAAAGATCACTGGATATCTCTTACAAATGCAAATTACTGGGTCCCATCTCCAGAAAATTTTGAGACAATGGGTCTGGGGATGGCCAAGGGACTCTGCATTTTTAAAAATAAAAAATGAAAATTTCTCTAGAGTGTGACTACCTTTGAGGAGCGACTGTAACTATAGCATTCACTTTTATGTCACCAGGGCCTAGCACAGATGACATAATACCTAGCAGACACCCAGTGTATATGCACTAGATGCTGGAATAAATATGGAATCCTGAGATAGTGTCATTCCAAGTGTGTCATAGAGCTCTCATTTCCAGAAGGATTCTGCACAGTGACTTGTCAAACCTCCACATTGATGGCCAGACATACCCATGTGCCAGGCATCCAGGATTGTTAACTAAACAGTCTCATTTCTTTCTTTCCTCTAAAAGTAATTACTGGTTGCTAAATATTCAAACATGCATTCAAAAAGCAGCTCATTACAATATGTTAAGAAAGAAATTACTATTTCTAATTGCTTCTAGTAGTTAATTACTTCTAATTATTACTCTGAATAATAAATTACTGCTTCTGATTATGTTGTGAGCACAGTTGGAGCATTCAAAAATGCAATTTCCACAGTTGTTTACATCAGAAAGTGTTTACTGAATTAGAGCACTATAATTACCCCCACATAGCTGGTAGCAAAAAATAATAACATTTGATAAATTCAATCAAAATATGTCATTTGTTTGTCAGCTTATTGCAGAGATCAAGCATTAAAATGAATGCTTGACTTTTTCAGTTTTTTCAGGGGGCAAAGATATGTTAAAATTGGGATTTTTGTTTCATTTGGTTGAGTAGGAATTAAATTAGCATTTCTTTTGTTATTTAAAACAACAAGGAAAATAATCAGGCCTCTAATAGCGTTAAAAATTGGTTACACAACCAGCATACTAGGAAAAAAAGAAATGATGCCCACTTAAAGAGAAAAACCCCAGAACAATTTTATTGCATTAGAACATATCTAAAGTACACAAATAGTAAGTGTACAACTTTAAGACTTCCCAGCCCCTGGCTTGAATCTGTCACTTCACTCACCAGTTTATTCGGTCAATGACAGAAGTAGATAACTTATGGCAAACTGTAGGCTGACATTTTAAAATCTCCTACTGTTTGCCACAACCACATGTCATCACTATTTCTTCCCCATGGTGATCTGCCACTGTCCCCTGGGTGCTGGACACTCTTCAGAGGTTTCCAAGAGCTGTATCTCTGGGGTTGCCTTTGTGTATTCTCCTCCCCTTGAATGTGGATAGGACTTGTGACTTGCTTCTGACCAACCACATGGTGCTGAGATGGGATAGTCATGACGACACGGATGTGATTAATTACATAAGACTGTACGGTCCACCTCGCTGGAGCCTCTGGTCCTTTGCTGGTGTTGAAGAAGCAAGCACCATGATGGGAAACCCAGGTGGAGAGAAGCTATGAGTAGCCTCTAGGAGCTGAGGGTGGTCCCCAGACAACAATCAGCAAGTAACTGATGTCCTCAGTCCTACAACTGCAAGGAACTAAATTAGGCCAACAGCCTACATGCCCTTGGAAATAGATCCTTTCCAGTCAAGCTTCAGAGGAGATGGCTGATTTCACGCTATCACAGCACAGTTGAGTGCTTGTAACAGAACATAACGGCCCACAAAACCTAAAATATTTACTATCTAGCCCTTTACAGAAAAAGTTTGCCAACTCTAACCTAAACAGAACTAGTACATCTGAATTTAAGCTGTTTACCCTAAAATGTTTCCATGAGATGCAGACATATACATACAGAAGCAAAATGGTCATTTGATTTCATAGTCCAACTAACCAAACCCAAGGGCAACAGAAGAGATAAGTCACAGGGATAAAAATTCACTGAGTTCAAAGTACATTTGAGTGGAGAAAAGTTGCAGCATTACTTTTTGGGAGTGAGATTTATTTGTGCTGGTGCTTCTTTTGAAAACCTGAGCCCTGCCTTAACGTCTGAGCCTGTGTTCCTATGAAAATCCCTGTTTTTTACAGAGTTGTTGACATTATCAAGTGTACCTCTTGGGAATATCCGTGTTAGAGAAACGATGTGTTTGTGCTAGGTTGCTAGGTACCAGAAATGCTATGAAATCTTAAAAAGTAAAGAGCTGCAATAATATATTGGTCTCAGTATGCATGTGCACATGTCTGTGTGTTTGTGTCTGTGAGGCAGGGTCCAGAAAAAAACTGGGGAACAGTTGTGTTAAGGCAAAACCCAGCTGGCTCAACTATTTTG